TCAAACTGGCAAACTTTGGGTTATGAGCTCTGCTCCTTAACACTGTGTCACATTGCTACCCATTGGGACAGCAATTGGGACAAATCGGTGTAGATGGTGGACTTGAAGTGGAAGAAACAAGCGGGAATGAGTTGATAAGTTAGGAGACTGATCACTGACCAACCTTTTTCCTCCTTATGGAAGGAGGTAAGGCATCTTGTACACACAGCATGAAAAACAGTGGACACACAGACTGGCCCACTTCATACCCAGCAACCACTGCAAACGATACCCCAGGGAAAGCACGTTGTAAACCCACCGCATCTTCTTCACAGCAGAGGAGCATTTTTGGGACCTTTTAATAGCGTGACACTTTATTTTGGATCCTGAGGGAAATCTGAAATGAATTTCAAGCCCATGTTGTGGCTCATTGCACTCTTTATGAAATCCAGCAGAGGCAGGACTTTTAAACATTGGCTCCATCTTAAATTTTTTTTTTTTTTTTATGGGGCAAGGAAAACAAAGCCAAAGCAGAGCTGAGCCCTTCCGATGGGGACTTCTCCAAGCCCCCCTATGAAACAGAGGTTTACCTTAACCCCGGAATTCCGAGTGCCTGCGCTGTCTCTCCGCTGTCCGCGCTAACCAAACAACACTCACGTCTCCCGGCTTTTGTTTTCTAAATGGCACGGATTAAAAGGGGAAAAAAAAAAACTGAACCCCGGGCTCTCTCTCTCTCTCTGTCTCTCCCTCTCTGGGAGAACATCTCTGCAGTGACTCAGGGAGGATCTTCCGCATTTCAGATACCCCCCTCCTCTCCCAGGCCGGACACACAGGGACGCTCCTGCCAGCTCGCCTCCCCAGCCTGGCCCATCTTCTCGTAAATACCGCCTGCGTGGTTGAGGACGCCTCCATATTAGGGCAGAGCGTGGAGCCAGAGGCCTCTGGCCCAGACCGGGCCCGTCCCGAGCCGCCCGCTCCCCCGTCCCCACCGCCGCACTCCCCGGGCTGCTGTCCTTGGCCGCCCTCCCAAAACCACTTCAGTTGCGAGTCTTTGGAAACCAAACAGTCTGAGGGGGTCTCGCTCTCTCCCTCTCTCTCTCTCTCTCCAGCTGACTGCAGATGTTCAGAACACTGCCGTCTCCGTGCTCACCAGTACTAGAAACACAACTGTGAGCAGAACTGCAACCCACAAGCCACGAATAGGCCCAGTTCTGCAGGCCACAGGACTCTGGTACCCACCACTATGTTGGTGACTTGAAGCGGCCTCTTATTTCTGTAATCGCCCTCAGAGGCCTGAAACAACTCCCCCTCTTCCCCTCTCTCCAAGTGCTTTAACCCATTATCAACAGTGCGTTAACCCATAATCTCATATGAACCAAGAACGCTCATTCTTTAAGCGTCCACACGGAGGCGCTGTAGCTTCCCGGGGGCCATGGTGCGCATTTAACGACAGCGCGGCGAGTGACGAGGCGAGACGCTCGGCTTCTCCCTCTCCGCAGTGCTGCAACCCCAGGCGCTCTCTTCCTGTGTCCCTGGCTGAACTCCAGCACCGTCACACCTGCCTTTCAGAGGGCCACCGACAGTACAGGCCTCTTCAGAGATAAGGCGGAGGGGAGAGAGAGAGAGCGAGAGAGAGAGAGCGAGAGAAAGAGAGAGAGAGAGAGAGAGAGGGAGAGGGGAGAGGGAGAGGGGAGAGAGAGAGAGAGAGAGAGAGGAAAGAGAGAGGGGAGAGGGAGAGAGAGAGAGAGAGTGACAGAGAGAGAGTGTGTGTGTGTGTATGTGAGAGAGAGAGAGGGAGAGTGTGTGTGTATATGGTTGAGAGAGATATAGTGTGCGTATGTTAGATAGAGACAGAGTGTGTGCATGTGTGTGTGTGTATATGTGAGAACAAGAGAGAGGAAGAGAGGGAGAGTGTGTCTATTGTAGTGAGAGAGAATGTGTGTGTGTACGTTAGAGAAAAAGAGTGCGTGTGTGTGTGTGTGTGTGAGAGAGAGAGAGAGAGAGAGAGAGAGAGAGAGAGAGAGAGAGAGAGGCGTGCATAAAGTAATGAGAGAGAGAGTGTGTGTACGTTAGAGAGAAAGTGTGTGTGTGCGTGTGTGTGTGTGAGAGAGAGTGGGGGCCAGTGAGGGCAGATCACTTCATTGCAGCAGCAGACGGCAGCCCCTCTCCCCTCTCCCCCTGCATATCATTAACAAAGCCACGGAACACATGGTCCGCACAGAAGCCGCTCTGATTGGCTGCCACAGGGACAGCCTTTCTGTGCTGGCACACGACTGCCGGCTTCATTTCCTGTTTCAAAGAGGGCGGCCAGCCGCTGCCTGTCCGCAGGCCTGTCAGAGAGCGCGAGCTGGCCTCGCAGGCCGGAGCACACGGCCCTGAGACGGGGAGACGCATCAATACGGCGGACAAATCACAGGGACAGCGAGAGCTTCCGCTTGTCATTCTCTCAGAGGCTAAAGGACAGGCAGGAGAGATAGGGAGAGAAAGAGAGAGCGAGATTGAGAGAGAGGGGGAGGGAGGGGTGGGCCATGTTTGGGCAGGCCCCTCTACATCCACCCTCCACGTACACACACGCCCCCTGCCCCCACCCTCGAACCCTGACCCCACCTTCACCCCAGTGCTGCCTCAACTGTGGGAAATCCTTGGGAAACAGGCAGTAAAATATGAAGCAGTGGGCAGCTGGCCAGGAGCCAGGCAGCAGCGGCCACCCAAGGGACAAGGGACACAGGAGAGGAAGGGAGCACAACCAGCTGGTGGCCTCCATCTCTGCTGCTGTACGCGATACCCTGTCTGTCTCTCTAGCTGTGCGTGACACCCTGTCTGCCTGTCTCTGGCTCTATGTGCCTTTCTGACTCTCCCTCGCTGTATTGGCCCTGTCGGTCTCTCTCTGGCTATATGTGCCCTGTCTGTCTCTCTCTATGCAAGGCCATCAGTGGGCATTTGGAGTTCACAAAGCTCATATTAAGCATGCGTGTGTGTCTATACAAAAAAGAATATTTACATACATACAGTCCAACTGGCTTTTCTGCTGAGGAGAATGTGGTCAGTGTTTTGGGTACGCTTGAGGGTTGGAGGTCTTTTAGTATGACATTAGAGGGTCTACTATGAATTTCACATTTTAAGAATTAACCGACACAACCCAGCCAGCAGTCTATATCAGGGCTGGAAAGATGTGAAAACTTCATCATGTCTATTCACAATAAGCCTGCTTCTTTTGCACAGCAGGACTGCTTTGATAATTACGAAAGCTACACCGAACGTACCGGTAACGTGTGCTGCATCTTTATGAAATATACTAAGGCCCCTATTTACAAAGCTTTTGTTGTACTGTACATTTTTCTCTCAGATTTTCAGCTACTAACCACACATTAGAGGCAGTTCAGAGGAGTAGTGTGCTGCTTTCTCTGCTTGAGTGCTGTGTTCGTGCATACGGTATGATATGCTATGGTACGATGGTATGATGGAAAATCACTTTATTCAAATTCACTGTAGTGTCTTAAAAACAGACAAAGACAGAAGAGGGGCGATACTACAGGTAGACAAAAATGAAAGTATATGAATATCAATTTAATTGAATAAAAATGTACTTGTATATACATTTGTTCATTTATGTCAAAATGTTTATTAATTTGTTTGTATAAGAGGTTAAGAATAACCTTTCAATTCCAAGCCCAACTTTGTGAGCGATAAATCTTTCTTCTACAGCCTAAAAACCTCAACAGAAGGCTTCTTCATTTTGATGTGCCCATGACAAACTTCAGTCACTGTCCTGTGTTAACTTCAAAGGCAAGCATGCCAACTGCTATTTTCATTCAGGAACAGAAGCGCACCCACATCTTCTGGGTTTGAGACAAGGCCCTCGGTTTGCTGACAAACTGCTCGGCCTCAGCGAACGCTTTCTGATGTCGGATCGCTTAAAAAACCTCCATGCCCAGCGGGCAAGCCCTGTGAAGCAAGAAGTGATTTCACGTCCGGTGTCACGGGCCCGGGAGCGGACACATTTCAGCGGCGTGGGGGTCTGCCAAAGCCACCACAGTCCCAAAGCCACTGTCGTTTCCCCTACCCTTTCCAGTCACGGCCACAATCACAGGAAGCCCGCGAGCTGCTCTGAACAGACTAAATTTACGGCCCTCTGACCTGGACCGCGACAGTATCCAGGCACGGAATGCTGTTTCTCAGTGCAGTGTAGAGCAGGGCCCAGGGGAGCAGTGTGGTGTAGTGGTAAAGAGCACAGCTTGTAACAGAAACGCTGCTGGTTCAACTCCCAGCTGGGCCATTGCTGTTGTACCCTTGGGAAAAGGTACAATTGGCTCGGTAAACGTCCAGCTGTATGAATGGATAACATGTAAAAAAAATTGTAGACTGTGTAAATCACTCTGGATAAAAGCATCTGCTAGCTGAAAATAATGTAATGTAGTGCAATGGATCGGCTGTGACGAGCGTGTATTGAGGTGAGTGAAACAGCAGATGTACGAGTGAAACATTTCACCCCCGTAGCGCAGAAATGTTAGCTTGCTTGCTCTGGGAATATTTCGAGCTCAGTTGGTGGGATCGTACCCTTCCGCAGTCATGTGCTCCACAACGGTATTGCTTGGTTACAGTATTGGTTGTGGGTTCGAAGAGGAAGTGCAGCTAAGGGTCATTGCTAGCACCTAGTGGCATTCACACGGTCGCTCTCAGTGAATGCCTTCCGAATGTGACATCATTAGCATGTGCAAGCTCAGGCGTGATGTCATGTACGCCCTCGTGAGCATACAGTCCTCATCAGTGGAGGACTGTTTCCTATCCATTTCTCAGCTTTTCAGACACCCTTAACCACACTTACAGCTCCACATCTCACATGCTGCCCACTCCTCTTACACAGACTGCATTACACTACATTACATTATCGCTATTTAGCAGACACTCTTACCCAGAGCAACTTACATAGTTTGCAGTTCTTACATGTTACCCATTTATACAGCCGGATGTTTACTGAGGCAACTGTGGGTCAAGTACCTATCCCAAGGGTACAGTAGCAG